GGCAGCTTTCCTCTGCAGCCACACGGTGTCACCCGTAGGCACGCGTGTGGCTTGAGGGGGCCATGTCCTCATGGAGCCCTTTGTGTGGAGTTACTGTGCTTGCAGGCAAGATAGGAATGGAATACAGGAAGCATAACAAAGCAGTAGAGCACTAATGAAAGAGGGCCATGTGTCAGTGCCACCTCAGAGTTTTTTGTTCTGTGAACGCTGTGAAGTCTGAATGGCTAGGGGAAAGAAGTGTTTATAAATAGTTCTGAAGAAATGTGTATGAAAAGAAGGTAGGATGTTTGCAATCTAAAGCACTAAATGCACGTTAAAGTACAATGTCTTAATTTCCAAATAGTCTGCCAGAATTCGGTTGTGTTGGGAATGCAGGAGCAAAACAGAGCTGGTAATGTTTGACTGTCACACGTGTGGTTTGCATCCAGAAAGTTATCTGAGCAGTGGGAAGCTGTGCATAAGTGAGGGATCTAAAGGAGGATTGCTGTTAGTGGGAGGTAAATGCAGTCACATTGTCTAGGTGCCAGTTCTGACATTCTCTTGAATAGAGAAATCTGAATGCAGTACCAATCATTGACAGTGGAACAAAATTTGAATGCTTCTTTCCTTCCTGCTTCCAGACTTTGTGTTTTCACAGCAAGTTCACGTGTGTGCTTTAATATCTCGAATAGCCTGCCTATCTCTCATTGCCTCACGGAATGTCATGTTCCTCAACTGCTGGTTTTTGGTCTCATTGTAAAGGGTATTCATCCCTCTCTGTTCTCTTGGGAGCCTGTGTCTCAAGATGATTTTTTTTGTATCTACAAAATAATGAAGTGCTGTACTGCACTTACAGAGTAGTATGTTGACAACGTGAACTGATAGCTTCTACTTACAAGCTCATCCCTCTCGTTTGAAAAGCTTTGAGTTATTTTGAGAACTATGTTTTCAAAAGCACTACTTCCTTATATAACTTTCTCTTCTTTTCTAGCACCACTTTTGAAATCTCCTGTAATTCCTTTTTATTTCCTGGAAGGGAAAGGGAATTGAGAATATCTTGTGTTCTGTCTGTTTTGGCACATCTTTGTCTTGCAGATTGCTAGTGTGCAAGTTGCACGCTGAAGGTGCTCACCTCCCTAGACCAGTTGTCTCTGAAGTCGTTTTCTGCTTGCTCTCCTTCTATAAAATGAAAAGGAAGATAGACCTATCTTGTTTATCTTAACCGACTTCAGATCATCAGATTCCCCATTATGACAGCTAGCAGCACAGTGCTATCCACATCTAATTCCACACTTGGTTGGTTTTGTAAGATGTCTGGCAAGACATCCATCACTGTCAAGTCCTGAGAGCTGGGCTCTCGCTGCTGCTCTCTTGTTCTGCAGTGAGCTGCTCTGTTGTAACCTTATCGCTTCTAATGTCTTTGGAGGGCAAGCAGAGAGCAGTCCACCATTTCCTAGTTTTGCCATGGTAGCCAGAGAGGGTTCTTGTTACCACGCTGTCTGCAGACAGGTCTGCCTTGCTGTCTCATTTGTTTGCTGTCTGTAACAAGATAAATCTGCAAGGGTTTCAGTGGTTGCGTGCGAAAACACAGCCAAAGGAAGTATTAGCAGTTGTTTGCTTCTGAATCATGAAGGCAGGAGGAGCCCTGGAGGAGCAGCACAGGGAATGACACATATAACACAGGGTGGAGGTTTGAAATACCTTCTGGCTGTAAGCTCTGTGCTGGGACCGATGCCGTCATTCCTACTGGAATTGGAGGAGCGTCTGAACTTTCAGCATTTCACAGTGCTCAGCCAGGCGGTGCTGAGGGCTGGGAACATCCCTTGGGTAGAACCTCACTGCTGCTGTGTGGTGCTGCAGACACTTGGCCATCCCTTTTGGAGGTTGGTTGCAGCAGAGGGGTCACTTTGTGGTGTAATTTTTTGGATAACTGAGATACCAGTCCTGAGGAAAGAATGCAGTACAAAAACAGAACCAGCAGATGGAGACTGGAATCAAGCTTCTTTTTTTTTCCCCACATACTGCTGAAGGCCTCTATAGCAGTCCATCAGCACAGCCTCGAGTTTTTGTATGCCATTTCCCACATTGAGATACTGTCAGGATGAGCAGGGGATGAAAAAAGCTAACAAGCCAGTACAGGGCTGCTGTAGCAATTAGGACTGTATAAATGGATAAGAGCAGCGTGCAGTCCTCTGTGGGACACTGACAGGCAGTGCATATACACATCTGCCCATTGTTTCTTGGTGGCTGTTGGGAAAGTCATAGTGCTGCAACTTCCTTTCTGTAAGATTTAATGATGCTGACTCCTCTGTAAGGTGCTTTGGGACTGTGGGATGAAGTTGTTTATTATATTGGAAAGAAGCTAAAATTGTAATGATTGTAGTAAGGAATCTTTAGAAGCACTATTAGCCTTTGAAAGAAAGATTAAATACAGAAATATGCTGGATACAATGGTTTGAGGCTCTTAACACTCTAAATGCTCAATTTTTCAGATAAAATTGTTAAGCCCAATTTGATGAGCTTTTGTTTTGGCATGTGAAAAACCAAACAGCAGCACCCCTCCTTCCTTAATTCCCCAATAGAAAATATACTATCTAGGGCACTGCTTTGTGGCGCCCCTGACGTAGGTGTGAGGTTTCTGGAGCCTCCCCTGCCCATCCCTGTGGTCTGTTGCCTCCTTATGGCTAGGTAAGGCATATGGATACAGTGTACCTTGCAGCCCCCCAAGAATGGTGTAGCATTTCTTCTCAGGTGCCTCTCGCTCATTTTAAGATAGCAGATGGGTACAGAGGTGTCCTCTTGGCTGTCACTGCTGACACACAGCACCTTGTGTTGCTCCAGGTCAAGCACTGCTAGCTGCAGAAGCAAGAAATGGTGCATACAAATGACTGAGGCTCTCAATTCCTACATGTGCCAGAAGAGAGACTGAGTAGCTCTAGACTGTCTACCTGCTGAGCACTGTCCCATCCAGACAGCAGCCCTGACGGCATAGACAAATCCCTTTGCGTCACTACGAATTAGCGGTGGAGGGAGTCATAATCTTATTGAAGAACTGCTTTGTCTGTGGATGGAAAGCAGTCAGAGCAGCGTGGAGTGACAGAGCCTGGAGGCCTGTGTTGGGGAGCACAGCCCCAGCCCTCCACTGGGCACACCGACCCAAGTTTTGGGTTTGTCTCAGCGCCCTTTCCTGTTAGACAGACACAGAGGTCTGTCTGTGCTTCAGAGCTCACCTGCTGGCTGTGCAGTACAAAGAGCACCACCTGCAGCTGCAGGGAGACGCGTCTCCTCTGAGAGGTGGTTGGTCATGGACACAGTGTTTTGCTGGGAAATTTTCTGTGCCCCAAATACGTGCTTCCACCTCATATTACTTCAAGAACACCCAACCTGAAGCTGTTCTCTGCTGGGTTTTTTGACTTGTTGAAGATGTTCAGCATCATCCAGTGACTCAGCAGGTAGTTTTCCACTCCTTTGCAGCATGGCATACACCAGCATGGAAGGTCAGGGACGCAGTCTCTCTGCCTCAGCTCTGTTGCCTGTTTAATGCCTGTGGTAATTTCAGTGTCTCAAGGCAGTGTTCTTGCTCAGTGTAGTACTTGCTCTGTCTGAGAGTGCAGTGGCAGTGAGCACCGGTGGGGAGCTGATGAAATGAGAAGCCTCTCACTGTTGGCTGTCAAAGAATACTCAGTGAAGGTTTGATATGGAGCGTGAAAAAGCTCTTAGACTGGTTCTATTAGCCTGCCAGGAAAGAGCTATGGGCTCAACCCATCGACCTTCTCAAAATAAAAACTGGAAATAAAAATACTTGTGGCAAATTTAAGGAGAAAGAGGGTTTAACATGAACTCAGTGAACTGAACAGTGAATGACTAAGTGTGTATACTATGTCTATGAATGCCTTTCAGCTTGAAACAGGTTCCGTGGTGCTGTGGCCAGTCCTTTCAGTCTGCTGCCCTCCACGCAGCTTTGAAGGAAAAGCATTCTGGACCTGGCTGTTTGTGACACCCGGGGAGCATTCCCCTTTATCTCTGGTGCTGCAAAACCATAATAGTGGGATGCAAAATGATGGCATCCTGACCACATGCAATCATAGAATCACAGAATGGCTTGTGTTGGAAGGGACCTCAACGATCATTTAGTTCCAACCCCATGCTGTGGGCAGGGTTGCCACCCACTAGGTCCGTCCCTGGAGGTGTTCAAGGCCAGATTGGATGGGGCCCTGGGCAGCCTGGTCTTGTATTAAATGGGGAGGTTGGTGGCCCTGCATGTGGCAGGGAGGTTGGAGATTCATGATCCTTGAGGTCCCTTCCAACCCTGGCCATTCTGTGATAGGTCAGACACTAGAGTGGTTTGCCCTGATATCAGCACAGAGTAGTTAAAATGGATGGAAATACTTGATCTGATTCTGAGAAAATCGCACATTAAAAAAAAAAAAACAGGCAGCTGGGGATGAGCATAGGAGAGGGCCATGCGTTGCGTCTCACACAGCCAGCCCCAGGGTTGGGGGCTTCTTCCTGCAGGGGCTGTGGTGAGTGAGAAAAGGCTGATTGCTGCCTGCCTGAAGGATCCTGCTGGAAAGACCCAGGGACGGCAGCGGGCTGGGAGATGGCTGATGTCAGCGCGATGGGCCCGTAGCTGTGGCAACCAGAATAAATAAAAAAAAAAAAAAAAAACCAGCGCCTGAAAAAAAGAAGCGTGTGCCGGAGCAGGAGACGTGCAAGCTGCCGCTCGCAAGCGCAGCTCCGCCGAATATCTCTTAAGCCGCTTAGCACCGCCGCTCCAGTTCGTTACCTGAGGCCCTCCTGCCTGCAGGCGGCCGAGAGCATCGTGGGACGGCGTCCGTCTCCGGGAGCTCCCCGCTCCTACCTGCGTCCCTCCTCTGCGCGGCAGTGGTTTGCTCCGTGCACGCACAACTCAACGCGAAGCAGGCGCTGGATTTTGGCCCCACTGCGCAAGGCCGGCGGCACCCGGCCTGCCTCCCTCCCAGCAGCGCGGAGCCCTGCCCGGTGCCTGCGGGAGGCCGGGGATGCTGGGCGTGCCGTAGCGAGCCGGAGATGGATGGAGTCGGCAGCAACAGGACCATGTCTTACAGCAGGTGGAGTTACAACAGGTACCGTCTATCCCAATTTTTGTTGTTGTTTGGGTAGTGCTTTGGCCCTACCGGGGTTATCTCCAGCTCAGTGTGCTCGTAGGGATGAACAGAATGATGCTCAGACTTGCAGAGAGGTGACCTCCAGTAGCTACGGCTCAGAGCTGGCACCTGGGTGCTTGCTGTGAATCCAAACTCGTGTTTGGGAAAGGATCGTGGCTGCACAGTGGCAGTGCCAAGCAGAGCTGCTGGGAAGGCTGCGTGTGGTCTGTGCACACAGAGCTGTGCCAGGTGTAGCGCTGAGGCAGGTGGCATATCTGTGCTGTGTTGTGTAGCCAGGTGTTCCTCCTCTCCTGGGGAACAATCCTTGCACCAGCAGGTTTGACTCTGTGTGATTCATGGTGGTGACTGACAGTTCCTCTGAGCTGGGTGAAAGGGAGCAAACTTGGTACTCTTTTTGTGTGTCTGTGTGTTACAGCTGAAATGGAGTCAGATGCATTGTTACCATCTGACTGAATCACTCCCGCAAGCCACCAAAATATTCTGAAGAAATGACCTTTGGAAGTGTTTTCTGGGCTTAAACCTGTATTCAGTGCCGCCCACAATCCCTGGTGTGGGGATTTATGGCTCGTGCATCCACCCAGAGAGTTGCACTTGTTTTCTGTGCATTGCCTCAGCAGAAATACGTACGGATTTCAGCCTCCAGCATGGTTTATTAGCAGCTAATTTCCGGTTTATGAAAACGTTCACAATAAATCCAAGCCATGCAAACCGATGGCTGTATAATACGTATTATTTTCAGTTGCCTGTGTTGGGAGGCTGAGGAATGAATTGTTGCTTTTCCCGACAGCTTTCCCTTGCTAAAAAAAATACTGCAAAGTTGTTCTCACACGTTGGCACTGTCCTCCCACACCCAGCTCATGCCCAGGTCCATGACAGGAGGAGGCAGTAACCTTTTTTCATCTGAACCCTGACTGCTGCTGCTTGTGATCAGAGCGCCATCAGTGCCTCTTCCTTGGCCTCACTAAACAGGGACAGAGCTGGGGGGATCTTTCTGTTGGCAGAAACACACTTCGGTAATAGTGAGCATTGGTTGTGATTGAATGACATCTGGAATCTCTCCTTTCTTAGACTTCTGTTTTTCTTGATGTTGCAACACATTGGTCTCAGGCTAGGAGGATGACATGCAGATTCTCCCTATATGGCACAGGAGAGGGGACTGCTACAATGGCAGTGCTGTCAACAGAAGCCACAATATGTCACATCTGTTCCTGGGGCAGATGGTTTGTGGTAGAGCATTTCAGGATTCTCCAGCAATGACTGGGCCCAAAGCTGAGGCAATTGGCAACAGTGCTTTGCTGTTGTGTAAGAGGTGGGCTCCTGTAAGCACAGCACACGGTTGGGGGGCTGGTACAGCCAGTCCTCCTGGTGTCCTGGTTAGGCAGTCTGAGCAATGACCTGTTAGTGCTGAGAACTGCAGTTACAGTTGTAATCATTAAGTTGAAAAAGATCCCAAAGACCATTTAGTCCAGCCATCCACCTACCATCAAACTGCCCACTAAAATGTGTCCCTAACATCTCCTCACTGAAATGTGTCCCTACATCTCCACAGTTCTTGAACCCCTCCAGGGATGACTCAACTGCCTCCTTGGGAGGCCCATTCCAATGCCTGGCCACTCTTTCAGAGAATAAATTCTTGTAGTTAATTGTAATTGGGGTGGGGTTAGGGTTAAGTAATTGTGTCAGGTGAAGAGATATACACAATATAAACAATTAGGAGAGACCAGATAAAAAATTTCACCTCAAGTTCTCTTTTCAGTATAGGAAAGTCAATGGATTTTTTTTTTTTTGCTTTTTTTTCTTGCTATTATTCCAATCCCCAAAGCTGTATCAGCGTGAGTGTGCAAGAGAAACAGGTACAGCACAAAAAATGCTCCTAATCAGTGAGTATGGCATCCCCATATCTCACTGTTATCTTCCTGAAGGCCAACACTATGTCAGGCATAACATAAGGTCTGTACCTTCCTCCCATCTCTGTGCTGTGATGATTTTCTCATCACTCTGAACCCCAATGGCTGAAAGCAGTGACCAGGCAGCAATTTGGACAAAAACTGTTGGTATTTCAAAGTGCTGGAAGCACTCAGGACTCCTGGTGGCAGCCTGCAAATTCCTGGCGTGAAATAATGCTGCTCTTATACCTCTGCTCTCAGTGAGATAGTATTTCCTGGACAGTTGCTACTCATTTCTATTCAGTATATGTTTCTCCTGAGTGAAAGCTCAGTGGGATGAACATGGGCCAACCATTCAGCATAGGTCTTACCTATGGAATCTTTTCTGTATAAAGTCTGTTTACAGCACTGTGCTAATACCCTTAGTTACCTTACAGTTGTTGCCTTCTGATGCCTACATTTGTTGCAAGAGGAACAATTAACAAATCATCTCATTGTGATTAATGGAGGTTTTCTCCACCAGCAATTGGAAGTACCTTTTAGTAAGCTTACTCCTGGTATGTTTCAACTCCTGAAGGCAGCTGAAGACTTTCTTCCGTTCATCTCTCTTTGCTCTATCCTGGATATCAGCATTGCTCATAGCTCCCTTTTGAAGCTGCTATTTCTGTTCTGCCTTTTTTTACCTTGTGTTGAAAAGCTGTTACTGTGTGTTTAGGTTGTGATGTTGAAGAGTTTCAATCTTAGATCTAATTTTTCAGGGCTTTCAGCTCCTCTACCTTGATCTTTTCTGGGACACGCTGTCCTCAAGGAGTAAATAGGAGATGTCCTATAAACTCCCATTCAAAAAGGCTTTCTTAAGGAAACTAATTCTTTGAAGTATCATCTCTGAAATCATGAAGCAGGTATGCCTCTTACCTCCCTGTGCTTGCTGTAGTGAGCATGCTTTGAATACAGGGAAGAGCAGAGCAGCTCCTCATTCTACTTGCAGCAGAGCCAGCTCAAGCCTCATCCACTGACCTGCTCCCAGAATCTGGAGGCATACGATGCCCTGAACTGCTCTTGACAGCACTTTCTGTGTTTGCTCTTCGGAGAAGGTAACGCATTTCTTAGAAGTTAGATAATATCCCTTTCTGTACAGTTTCCAGTACTGCTGCTCCTGCATCAAAGCCTGACTGTAGCTCCATTTCCAGTCCTCCTGACTCTTCAGGTCTTCTCAGGACCTAAATTCAGCAAGAATTTGTGTGCTCAGGAAGGAAGCTCAGTCTTTCCCCACAAATGAAGCAGGACTTGGCACCCAGTGGGTGAATGCTTGATGTTTCCTTGTCTTGAACACCACCACCCTTTTCTCCTCTGCCATCTTGTGTCCACACAGGTTTTTCTCCTGGACAAAGGTACCTTAATGGGTGCAGCCATTGGTCAAAGCACCTGATGGGACAAGAAGTGAAGTTCTACAGAATGAAAGAAGGGAGGAAATCCAGTAAGTCCCAAAATGAGAACAGAATAAAATGTCCACATAGCTGATTAACTTACATTTATCAAACAGTGTTGTACATTTAGTTTGCTGGAAATCTGGGATATTTTTAGTTGTTTTTCTTTTTTTTTTTTTTTTTTCCCTTTTCCACAGTGTTATAGTATCATTTACATAGGAGAAACTGGGGAAATTTATTTTCATCCACAAGTCAAAACACTATGGAGGATCTGCAGGCACGTTCACACACATCCTTCTTGGGTTGGATACTAGGAAAAATTTATTCTCAGAAAGAGTGGTAATACACTGGAATGGGCTGCCCAGGGAGGTGGTGGAGTTGTCATTCCTGGAGGTGCTCAGGAACCGTGCAGATGTGGCACTGAGGGATATGGGGTAGTGGGCATGGTGGGGATGGTTGCCAAAGCGGATGCAGGAGCCTGCAACTGATGGAAGACAGGCACAGGCTGTGGGTGGCATGGAGGAGTACACAGATGGCTTCTGTTTGCAGAGAAGAAGCTGGAGTTGTTTCTCCTGAACCTTGGCCTGAAAGATGTTGTTAATAACCATTTCATCCAATTGTAAGGATAATCTGATTGGAGGATGTTTGCTCAGGTACGCAATACAATGTTTTGCTAAGTAAGGAGAAATGAAATGGAAATGGTTAGCACTGGTGAGAGTGGGGGCAACAGGAGGTTATCCTTAACAGAGAAGTATGATGGAGGAAACTAGCAGACACTAAAGAAAAGGAGGAGTTTTTTTCAGGACAAATAAATGACTGAAGAAAAAACCATTATCCAAATGTTTCATGCAGCAGGGAAATATACGCACCGTCTGGGGAAAATGTTGAAGGCACAGGGAATAAATGTGTAGTATGTAAAGGACTGGGATTTCCAATTGAAAGAGCGGAGTGTTGAACTGGAGCCTGGAGTGGCTGTGTGCCAAAGCCAGTGATTAGTAGAACAGATCAGTGGGAGAATTTTAAGGATGGAGAGTAAAAACTCTGAGAGCTGATGGAAATTGATGGATGTCGAGGGGGGGAAACATTCCATTTTATAGTTGGTAACCTTAAGTTGGTAACTTTAAAGAGGAAAAACGTGATGGTCATGTACAAAATTGTTGTTTTTTTCTCTGAAACTTTTAGTTCTCCAAAGCCTTCAAAATATCCTTATGTTAGGTGATGAAACATACAGATGAGTGCATGATATACCTGTAGAATGAAGAAGTGTGTGAACTTTCAGATCTCCCTATGTATTTAGCTGTAATACTAGTACCAAGACAGAAATGTATTTTGGTCCCTCTGTTTTGGCAGCCTTGCAGGAACTTTCAAGTTGAAACTATTTTTAAAAAGGAATGCTATGAAAATGAATGTTTTACTTTCTTTGTGAAGTCATGGCATAAGCGGTATGGTCTCTAAATGTGAAGAGTAAAGGGCAGTGCAGCAAACTGCTTCAGCTTCAGGCTGACATCCCATTTCCTTCCTGCTTGGAGAGTTCATTAGCAAGCTCTCATTAACAAATTCAGTGAACATGAAGAGAAAAAATAGAAACAAAATGTACATATATTTTTACAACATGTTTGTAGGTGCCTATAAAACCTCTAAGGTT